CCGAGACTCATTATTCAACAATGGGCTCAGGAGAACCCGTGCAGATTGCTGAAGCTCTCTCTATGTGGCTCCCTTCTTTCTCATAGCTGGCTTAATAGTCAACTTTCTTAGGTCTAAGTTAGTGTGTTAAAAATCCACAGTTCTCTTTCCGCATGTCTCCTTTACTACTCACACAGAATGCTCACTTCTGACATTTCCGGGTTTTCTCCACCAGGCAATTCTGCGACACCAGCTAGGCATCCTATACTTGAACTCAATTCTGACACTGTCTACCTGGATATAACCTCAGATCCCACGCTCTCAGGCATACACAATTTCTACTCCCAAAAGGCTGTCATTCAAGTTTTAAACTTTTATTTTTTAAATGTATATACATATCTCTAAATGGTATATTTATACTACTCTTTCTTGTCTTTTCAGGTTTAGGTGTTAATATTAACTTCCCACTCTGGAAAGTGATAATTTACCTCTTTCACAACCACTCCACTGCCACCACATTTCTCATCTCCCTTCTTCCTGATAGAACTATGTCTTTCATTGGTAGTCACAACTGAGCCATGCACTATACTTCACGCATTCTTTGAACCATGCAATACACTTTCTTACTTTTGGTTTATCCAGAGTTAATAATGATCTGTATCATTATCACATATACGGATATGGATATGGATATGAATATAGATGATATAGAGATATAGATATAGATATAGATATAGATATAGATATAGATAGATGATGTAGATAAAAGTCCCTAAATCATCCCAGAGCCTCCTTCACTTGCCTAAACCTCTCACTATGGTCAAACATGTCAAATATTTCTATCAATTTCATCACCTGGGGCCATTTTTCACAGGCTCTCTCCCAGTTCCCCACCTGGACTGGGTGCTCTCTAGATCTGCTGCATTGCTTTCATCTTGGGATCTCCCTTTACCCTCTTCCAAGGAGCCCCCTTCTTTTCTCTTTTGCACTGTACTCCCTGTTTCCTGCATTCTATCTCTTCCTCTTTCTTAGTTTACTAGTTTTGGTAGAGCATAGCCTGCAGCAGCCTTCTGAGAAAGGTGATACAAATATATTGAGAAAATGCATGTCTGAATAGCCTTTATTCTCAAAACAATTGATAGTTTGCACAGCTGTAGAATTCTGAGTTGGAAAATGGTTCCCCTCTAAATTTTGAAGGTATGCACTGTCTTCTAGCTGCCAATATTACTGCTGAGAAGCCTGAGTCCATTCTGACTTTAGATCCTTTATATGAAACCTTTTTTCTCCTCTCTAGAAGTTCATGTAATCTTCTCTATTCCCAGTGGAATGGATTAATGGTATCTGTTGGGGATTTAGTGGGCCATTTCCAAGTACAAATTCATGTCCTTCAAGTCTGGAAATTTTTCTGGAATTATTTCTTTGAAATATCTTCTCTTTGAAAATATTAATAAAAGGGAGGGTTTTTTTCCTTTTAATAGTTTAATCTCTCAGTTAGTCTTTGCTTCCTCCAGATTCTTTTGTTGTTGTTGTTGTCCAAGCTCCAGTTTTCATGTTGGGAGTTCTTGGCTAACTACTCACATTTCCAGAGGTAACACTAAAACTGGGTTGGGAGTTCATGAGCATAGATGAGGCATGTCAGTGCTGGACTCACTGTAGCATGAGACAGCTGAACTGTTCACCTGAAGAATTCCCATTGTCAGCTTTTTGGGTCTTTTCTTTGCAGCTGGGTCTATCTCTGGATCCTACCATTCCACTGATCTATACGTTTATCGTCCCCCACTCCACTGGGAGTCCAAGCTGTCACCTGTGCTTCTGAGCAGTTATTCATAAATCTGAGGTCCCCACAACCCCCTCCTTGGGTTCTATTAATTTGCTAGAGCAACTCATAGAATTCAGGAAACATGATTATCAGTTTATCAAAGGATATGATAAAGGATACAGATGAACAGCCAGATGAAGAGATACATAGGGTGAGGTTGGGAAGGTCCCCAGTGCAGGAGCTTCTGTCCCTGTGGAGTTGGGGTACATCACCCTCCCACTGTGGATGTGTTCACCAACCTGGAAGCTCTCTGAACCCCATACAATTGGGATTTTATGGAGGCTTCGTCACAAAGGTATGATCAATTATTAAGTCCATTTCCAGCCCCTCTCCCCTCTCTTGAGGTTGGAGGGTGGGGCTAAAAATTTCAAGTTTCTAATCATGACTTGGTCTTTCTGGTAACCAGCCCCTATTCTTGAACACAGCCAAAGTCGCCTCAATAGAACAAAAGATGATTCTAGTGCTCTTATCACTTAGGAATTTCCAAGGATTTTAGGGGCCCTGTGTCAGACACGGGGACAAAGACAAATATTAGGACAAGAAATGTTCCTCGCGCTCTTACCACTTAGGAATTTACAAGGGTTTTTAAGAGCCCCGTGCCAGGAGTGAAGGGCAGAGACCAATATATGTGTTTTCTATTATTTCACAGTTAGTTACAATTTGTCCTACTTTCTAGCTTCAGAAGCATTCTGCAGTCATCTCCCTTGCTGTTTTCTTTGTCTTAGGCTTAGTCAGTTCTTCTATAACATATGCATTCCTGAAAATCACAATACTATGCAACAAAATCACAAGGCTTATGAGGGGGGGAAATGGGGTTAGGGACACAACACTCAAAACTTCATCAGTGACACATTAAAAAAGATAGGAACCTAATAAAAACAGTAGCACAGTTTTACACATATTACATGGTTAAGAAATACATAACAAAAATGTTTAAACACTGTTGTACTCCTGGAACTAATATAATATTGTATGTCAACTGTAATTGATATTTTTTTGGAATCTTTTTTGTATAAATTTTATTGATTTTTTTACAGAGAGGAAGGGAGGGGGATACAGAGTTAGAAACATCAATGCGAGAGAAACATCAATCAGCTGCCTCCTGCGCACCTCCTACTGGGTAGTGCCCGCAACCCAGGTACATGCCCTTGACTGGAATCAAACCTGGGACCTTTCAGTCTGCAGGCCGACACTCTATCCACTGAGCCAAACCGGTTAGGGCGATTTTTTTTTTTAATTTTTAAAAAAGGAAAGAAATACATAATGACTGCAAAGAATAAGGCATTTTACTTGGGGGGAAAAAAGACTTAAAGTTTGCTTGTGGACATGGGCATTAGAAGGATTGTAACTTGTGAGTTATTGTGACCTGGCGGAAAGGGAGGGTTACCTGAGAGTCCACAAAAAGTTGTAACACCGGATGCGGCTGGGTGTGGGTAATGAACTGAGGCCGCTGGGGATGTTTGAGTTGTGCGTTTTGTATATCCCTACGTGGCTCAGTCAGAAGGGGTGCAGTTTTCTGCGTTCACCCGTGTTCTGACCCTGATAGGTGCTCACTAATGCTTGTTGCATAGAGTTGAAATGAAAGTTGTTCTGTGGCCCTTTAATGCCTCAAACGGACAAAATATTTATGTGGATTTATGAAGACCAACTATTTTGAATGGATTCCCAACTCCAGGAGATCCCTTGACTTCCTGGAACATGCAGCTGCCAGGCATCTAGCTGGAATTTCTCCAGTCAACAAGTCCTCAGCCCAGCTAGACACTTCCTACTCAACACCTGGCAAGAGGGAGCCAGACCGCTCTGGGAAAGGCTGCGTTCTCTCAGCCAGCTCTGCAGCTCCCATGGGCCCGCTGGCCAGGTTCCAATCAGGACACAATAGTCTCACCAAGTATTTGAACAGAGAGGATCCAATGTAAAGAATTGTGAATTAGGCATAGAGTGTTAACTGGGACGTTGAAAGAATAAAAAGAAAACCCTGGGATATCATGGGACGGGCGGAAGCAGCTGCCATAACTAGGGCTGAGGGAACAAAGGGAAGAGGTTGGAACTGTTAACACTTGGACACTAAGAGGAGGGGATCCGACGCGCAGACCTCTGAGGAGGGAGGCTGGCTGGCACGCGGGAGGACCTCGGATTAGAAGGGCACAGTGAAGCTGATACTCCGACTGTTGGGAAAACTGCCAAATGGATTCGGCTGCTGCTACAGGAAGGCTCTGTTGGCAGGGAGAAGACCCGTGGCCAGGCAGAGCTCACCAGGACAGCGAGCAGAAAGGAAGCCCAGGGACAGCAAAGGCCTTGCCGGCTCCCTCTGGCACCCCCTATTGGCAGATCCTAACAGAACCAGTTGGCAAAGCCAACTCCACACCACAAAGCAGAATATGTAAGTGAGGGTTTGGCGCTAAGACACAACTTAACTGTCACACCCAACATGTGGGAACCCCATCTACCCCACATCACATCTTTCCTGAGCTGACTGAGCCAACCCATTGTCTTGGCATTTGCCCCCACATCACCCCCTGCGTTTCAATCAAGGCCTCACTGGCACAGCCCTTAAAACAGTCATCTTGGTGTTGGATTTCTGAAGACTTATACAATAAAAATAACTTTCTATCTTCCATCCCTGCCATCATTCCTGGTATACAGCAGGTAACCCTTAAGTGTTTCTTGAATAAGACAGAACTTATATTCAAATATATGCTAATTAAATCAAAATACTTTTTGTGTCAGTTATTTTTAAAATAATACTATGCCAACGCTGTTTGAGTGTAGCACTCAAATTAAGTCAACCCTTGCCCTGGCTGGGTGGATCAGTTGGTTGGAGCGTCATCCTGTACACCAAAAGGTTGTGGGTTCAATTCCTAGTCAGGGCACATGCCTCAGTTGCAGGTTCCATCCCCAGTCGGGCCCATGTGAGAGGCAATGGATCAACGTTTCTCCTACATCAATGTCTCTCTCCCTCTCTCTCAAAATCAATAAAAACATACTCTTGGGTGAGGATTAAAAAATAAAACCAAATTAGGCCAACCCTTTGGAAAACAATTCAGGGGAAAACATATCCATGAAGATGTTCATCGTGCATTCTTTATAGAGCAAGAGGAAGCAGCCCACATAGCCTATAGCAGGGGCATAGTTGAAATAGTGCCAGTAAGTTATGAAACATTCTGTTCTTAGCTTTAGAGTCAGAAAATCACTGACGGGTCGGGGAGGGAGGACGGTGGCAAGATGGTGTTGGAAAGCACTATGGTTTGCATGGACAACAGCGAGTATATGCGGAATGGGGACTTCTTACCTACCCGGCTGCAGGCCCAACAGGACGCTGTCAACATAGTATGTCACCCCAAGACCCGTAGCAACCCTGAGAACAACATGGGCCTCATCACACTGGCCAATGACTGTGAAGTACTGACCACACTCACCCCTGACACCGGCCGCATCCTGTCCAAGCTTCATACTGTCCAGCCCAAGGGCAAGATCACCTTCTGCACTGGCATCCGAGTGGCCCACGTGAGTCCTGGATCCCTTTAACGAGAAGGCTGGTGAAACTGGCAAAAAGCCTCAAGAAGGAGAAAGTAAATGTTGACATTATCAATTTTGGGGAAGAGGAAGTGAACACGGAAAAGCTGACAGCCTTTGTGAACACCTTGAATGGCAAAGATGGAACTGGATCTCATCTGGTGACAGTGCCTCCTGGGCCCAGCCTCGCCGATGCCCTCATCAGTTCTCCGATTCTGGCTGGTGAAGGCGGTGCCATGCTGGGTCTTGGTGCCAGTGACTTTGAATTTGGAGTGGATCCCAGTGCTGATCCTGAGCTGGCCCTGGTGAGCAAACGTTGACCTCAGGTAGAGCCCCAGGGTCCTGCTTTGACCTCTACTGACACACCCACACGCCACACAGCTCCTGTAGGGCTAACAGGCCTACACACCCCGCTCATTTTCCCAGACCCCGCTTTGTCCCTCGGCTGCAGAACTGCATCTGATCTCTAAGGGCAACAGTGTCAGACTCTTGTTCACTTCTCCTGATCAAATCCCAAGCCTCTCCTGGGCCATCTTTTCCT